GGGGGGGGGGGGGGGGGGGGGGGGGGGGGGGGAGAGAGAGGTGAGAAAGCGTTTCAAGAATAAGTTTAGCGATGATGAAGCCGCTTCGAAAAGTAGTATGCGCTGTTTCCGGAGGCGTCGACAGTGCTGTTGCTGCTTACTTATTGAAAGCTAAAGGATTTGATGTTGCCGGTGTCTACATGGTATTTTTCCATACCTTTAGCTGTTTTTTGGTTTTGGAAACTGATACAATTTAGTTTACAATTCATGAAAGCATTTGTTCGTAATTAGTTTTTGTGCATGTTAAAAAATTTTTTCAGATAAATTGGGATCGTGTGGAAGAAGGCACAAGCGAATGTCCACAATCCAGGGATGAAAGTGATGCAAGGAAAGTGTGCAGTCGTTTGCGAATACCATTTTACGTCGCCAGTTACGTGGACAAATATTGGAATGAAATTTTTTTGTATGTTTAAGTGCTGAAGCGTTGTAAGGGATTTGTATTTTCTCATTTTCTTTATGGCGCTCGTTTTGGATAAATGAGCACTTTCAGATATCTGCTGGACAGCTACCGTAAAGGAAGAACTGTGGTTTCTGATGTGCTGTGCAATCAGACAATAAAATTCGATCGGCTTCATAAGTATGCATTTGATGAGCTGCACGCTGATGCTGTTGCAACGGGCCATTATGCAAGGACAAGTTTTGGCGATTTCTTAGAAAAGCGCTCAGAGACTGGATGTGAGTAACATTTGGTATGCTTTTGGTGTCTTGTTAAGACATCACAGTTCTCATTTTTGTGCGCAAATTTGGTTGATTGGGCCCGCATTGAGGAGCAGAAGTGTTCCTCTGCCTGGCTTACTTCCCATGGGCTACTTATTATTTCAGACATGCAGACTTTTCCTTCAAACTCCACATATGATTATTTTTCTTGAAGCACACGAACTGCTCAGCAGTACGCGACATTTTCTGCATGAGGGCACCTCTTTTTCTGTTCTAGCGTGAATTCATTCAGTTGCCCAAGATTCTCATTTTTTACATGTTCTGGGAATAATTTGAGCATTTTTTGCTCTGCATTTTCCAACCATAGTCAGCTTTCTGTTTGTGAGGTCATGTCCATGATGATGATCCAGGCGTGCATCGATGCTTGCAGTACGATGGAATTACGAAAAGAAATACGTTTTTCCGCAAACTTCGGCCAGCTCTAGGTAGTATTATTAAAAATCAAAGCAGTGATAGAATGCTCTGAATTTTCCACACATTCTTCAACGACTTCGTATCGTGTTTAAATCTAAAATAGTATTAAATTTCGGGTTTTGACATGCACAGGGCTTGGAACGGGAGGGGGCTTTTTCTCCAGTAAACTTAAAATTTTATGCGGTCTTTCATAGTCCTGCAGATTGGTGCTAAAGCTATTTATAATTTAGTGGTTCGGTTGCTCGCCGCCGTGGATCCGCTCAAAGACCAAACGTATTTTCTATCCACTCTAAGCCAGACACAACTGAGGAGGTCAATGTTCCCGGTGGGCTCATTAACTAAGCTACAAGTACGACAAATTGCAAGCGATGCTGGTTTGCTGGAGGTTGCCAATAAGCCAGAGGTAAGGGTAATCGTTTGCTTCTTCTGAAATACTCTCTATATTAATCATATTTTGAAAAGCATGCACAGATTGTATTACTTAACTAGTAGATAAATACCGAAATTGCCCAGGCAGTTCTATGTAAATACCAGGATCAGTGTTGATAGTACTGCGATACTTTCGATCGTTGCGCTTCTCGGCCTGCGTACTGCTCTTGATGATTGAGGATCCCGATAGACCGACGATCACACGTCTTCGCTTTCCATTCCTCCAGCACACGCTTGCACTTCATCACTCTTGCTGCGGTCATCCCTAACATTGTTCACAAATTTAAATCAGAATTGCACCCGCCCTAGTACTACAGGAACCGAATGATTTTTGTGCTTTTGACGAATCCTTTTGTGTCAGTTTCATATGCTGGGTGCAGTTATCACATGGCCTTCCTTCAGTTAAGTATTCACCATCTGACCTACGTGTCCGCACAAGTAATTGTTTGCTTTCTCGCAGCTACGAATCACTGGTCCACCGACTGTGAGCAGGGTGAACACCACCTCCTACTCGATGGAGATTACCTCGTGTGCCTTCAGTGACATTCTGCATACCGCTCATTTGCCAGAGGGTCTAATTATTTACTGCAAGGCGAAAGCACTCCACGCATTGCCGTCCTCTTCACATCCAGCATTAACCTTTCTGCTTTCGTCAGCGACCACGCGTTACTGCCTTCGACACAGTGGTATTGAAGAGCTGGACTTGGGCTTCCGGTTTGGCACTTTGGGAGGATATATGCGGAGTGACCAATTTTTGCAGCGGCTCTCTACGGATTTGCGTGCTGTTGAAAGAAATCTTGTCTTTCTTAAAGCGTGGTATTTTTTAATGCATATAAAAAAGTTTCTTTTATGGAGACCCAAAATTATCCGCATTTGTCGGGACTGTCGGAAACAGTCCCATCGCTTGTAATTGTCGTGGAATTACTCAGTGGTTTTTTGTTTTTCTTCCTGGATAATCTGCTATCACTGCTTAACTTTTCTCGTTTCATTATGAATGTGTCAAAACCATAAAATTTCATTATTTTAGTAAAAAATCTCCTGTTACCTTTTCATTAGCCTGTAATCATCGACTATATGTTTCAGAGTATGGGAATCTGCTTCATTGGCAAAAGGAAAAATTTCGATTCTTTCATTGATCAGGTCGCGTGTTACTATTTTTGATAATATTTTTAAAAAGCCTGCATAAAATTGCATATAATGGGATTTTTATGCATTTTGCAGTGCAGCGTTATTGCGTTGCAGAAAAAAAAAAAAAACGCATATTTTCATGGGGTCTGCATATTCGGGGTACATTTTGTCATGCACCTTCAACTCAGCAACTGGAAAAGCAAAAAAGCTGAAGTTTTTGGAGCATGCTCCGACTTCATATGCGACCCTTCCATTTTAAAATCAGTGTTCGTCTACGCCTGGGCCTCGCGTAGGAGTGCAGCGGAAATAATTGTAGCAAAAAAGGAATTTAGAGCGCCAGTCAATGTAGCAAGCTGAAACTTCACGAAGATATTCTGTACGTGCGTGCAACTTGTAGATTTTGAATTCAGCTTCGAGTTACAGCTAGGTCTCACGTTGAGCCTAAAGTAAAACTTCGTTTTTGGGCAATGTTAGCACCTATAACCAACCAAAGTGAGTAGAAATCCACAGTTTTTTTTTGGATGTTTACTGTCTGCATGCGACCTAGTAACCGTAAATGAGCCTATGCTTATGTATGCGTTTCGCGCACTGAGTTGTCAAATGTTCAGATCGCAGTACTTTGCGTCATCCTCTGTAAGTGACCAGACGAGCAACAGGGCAAAAATTTTACGAGAGTGCTGATGTATCTTGTAAGTCAGTAAAAGTGTGTAATCAGCTTTCACAAATGCCTAAGTCTCGCCTACGAATACCGGAGTTCTAGTGTGCTTTTCGCGAACGGCTTCTCATTACGATAGTGCTGGAGACTAAGATTTCACGCTGCCCCACGGTGCAACACTTTTCCAGTCAACAGCCCTTTTTCCTAAATACGAGAAAAGACCGAAAATATTACCACTGTGTGTACGCTTGAACAACTGTAAAGTAAAAGTTATTCATTTTGTTAACGATTTACAGTACATTGAGCCGGTGGTTGGTTTGGCGAAGGATATCGATACTGGTAAAGTTCTGTTCGAGCACAAAGGCATACATCACTACACAGTCGGGAAACGAATTCGACGAATCCCAGACAGTTGCCAGTCACCTGTTGGATTATTTGCTGCTGCGCTTGATCATAAAACACAGACCGTCTGGGTGGTTCGCTATTTCACTCCATTCAGCATTTCTTTGCAAATGGACGAATTCTTGAGCCACAGTTTTAAATGCACAATATGTGTTTTTGTGCGTTTTTTGCAGCTATGCAATGCAAAAACGCATATTGTCGAGGGGTTGTCTGTGTGTGTGAGTGTGTCTGTGTGTATGTATGTATATGTGTGTGTGTGTCCGTGTGTGCGTCTGTAACGAGTTTTCATCTCGAGATCCACAAAAGCTACAAGGCTGGGAATTTGGTAACTTAATCTACACATATGTGCGGTCTCGTATCCTCAAGATGGGCACTTAGGTCTGCGTGTTCTCACGTAGGAGTACGTGAAAGTTTTTTTGGCGGGAAAGCGTTTTCGGGAACGGCCCATGCTAGGAGGCTGGAACTTCGCAGAGTTGTTCCTTGGCCGTGTCTGATCCAAAGATTTCAAATTCAGCCTTTACGCACTCTCAGGACTCACGCACGCACACGTCAAAGCTTAAACTGGCATCATGCCAACTCCAAATTTAAGGTGAGCAATAATCTGCAGAGTGCTGCAGTTTTGCAGCGTTACATGTTGCCCACTGTTATGTCCGTGAAAGAAAATTACTTGTCACCCCTTCTACATCTCACGTACAAACACGTTTACACACGTGAAGTTTGACGTAACTTCGTAGCCAGAGCAGCTAGAGTGCTGAAACTTTTTGAACGCTGCTCAGGACCGTGTTTAACCAGCCGCAGGCAAAGAAAGCATTCACGTTGCCACTCACGCACGAACACGTGAAATTTGACGTAACTCTGCAACCAAAGCAGCCGGAGTGCTGAAACTTTTTGAGCTTCACTCAAGACCGTGTTTGACCAACCGCAGGCAGAGAAAGCACTCACGTTGCCACACTCGCGTACGAACACGTGAAATTTGAAGTAACTGTGCAATCAGAACAGCTGGGGCGCTGAATTTTTTGGGAATGGATTGGGAGTCATTGTAATTATTTCTAACAGTCGTGGTGGCCAGTCCCAGTTCTTTTAGCTAGAAACATCTGCCGGGAAGAACGTGCCACTGGCGAAAAAAACCTGCGGGGGAACTATGCAAAAAACGCATCCACGTACCGGCAGCCGGTACGCTTTCAACTAAGTTTTACATCTCTGTGCAAATGCAAAATCGCATATTGCCCAGCGTTTATCAGTTTTTGTGGGTATGTTTGCGTGTGTATGTGTGTGTGTGTGTGTGTGTCCAGATTTTTGTCACTCATATTCAACTTAGCAACCGCAGAATCTACGAAACTAGAATTCCACAGGGATGCCTCTAGCTCATTTGTCATCTAAGCAGCTTAAAACCAATGTCCGCGTATGCCTGAATTTCACGTACGAACACTTAAAGAATGTAAATTCCTTGGTGAGAAAACGATACCGAAACCAAACAGGCTAAGGAAGCCGGAAATTCACGCGGATATTCTCTGCTCATGTGTGAGAAAAAGATTTCAAGTTCATCTATCAAGCGTACGGACACATGGAAGTTGAAATCCAGGCATTGCTGGCAGCTGTTGCTAACTCCAGAATCAGGCTGAGTGGATTGCCCTATCTTAACGGGGATATTTTTTGCCCATATGCGAGCACGCAGACGTAAGACGTGCTTTGGTGCCTGTGTGGCGCATTTGGACAAGTCAGAAGCATTTGTAACGAAAAGCGATTTTGCCAACCAGTTAGCTAGAAAGCTGAAATTTTACGACGATTTTTTATGGCCATGTGTGACCGGAATATCGGTCACACATGGGCATAAAAAATCGTCGCAAAAAAAATTCTTCCGACAGTATTTTCTTGTAGAGCTCGCGGTAAACACATTGTGGAGGTCGTGATTTCACGTGTCCTTCTGTTCCAACAGTACGATCCCTGCCGATGCCCTTTTCTCCTGCATGCAAGAAAAGACCAACAGATTTCCAACATGAGTGTACATGTCAAATCGTAAAGGAGCAACTATTCGTACTGTTAACGACCTGATTGCTTCAAGTATAGCACAAAAACGCATAACTGCACCTGCAGATCTGGTGCGCGTTGCTACTGGGTCTCATTTATCTTGCAGCGACAATGCAAGTTTATGTGGAGGGGGTGTTCATATTCGGTAGGAAATACCTGTACATCCATTTACAGAAAAAGCTAATGTTCTGTTGGCTTTCAGTGTCAAGGATCGTATCATCCGGCTTTATTTGCTCGAGAATTTGTTGTTGAAGAGCCCGCTTGGATATCAGAATGCCCGATAAGTAACGGTTTGTATTGAAACTTGGAATTTTATAAATTCTTTCATGCTCAAATGTTATTGAAATGACGACAGTTTTTTTTTGCATGCTATGCATTTTGTGTTTTTGCCAGTTTTGGAATCTTCGTCGGAAATTTTTCAAATTTCAGATACTGTAAAGACAGAATTTCGTTGCCAGAGAACACATCCGGCACTTTTTTGCGATGTTGGACGATTGCAACGAGGTTTACTCAGGGTTAAACCGCGTAATCCGGTTCGGGCAGCTGCTCCTGGCCAGGTACAAAAACTTCTCCCATATTTAGGCTGTTCAGTTTTAAATTCTGAAGCATTTTCTGACTACATTTGCCGCAATTTTGCTGCTGCAGAGCCATTTTATTCATAATTTTGGCATTTTGGGAGCTGTGCATCTTCTTCGTTCCACGCCGTACTAGTTCATTGATTTAAGGGTATGTACCATGGGATGGTTGTCTCAAAAGAACAATATTGGTGATGCCATGTGATTGAGAACTTTGCAGATGTGTGTTTTTTACAACGAGAACGAATGTCTTGGTGGTGGCGAGATCCAGCACGTTGTTTCGACGTTGGCCGAACAAAAAGATCACTGAATTTATTTGTTTTTTCAAAATTTTACACTGTAGCGTGGTAAAAATCAGTCAAAAGGTGCTGCGTTTCTATCAAAAAACAAATTACATCAATCTTTTAGTTCATTTTTCCCACCCCACCGTCTAGCCCGAAGGTACGTAATTTCTGTTTTATGGCGAATAAATTTTTTTACATTTTTGCTGAGAACCTCGAAGTACAGTTTCTGGCGAATTCTTAAAGGAGGGAGCGTAATATTTCTGTAGACATTTTATCGTGAACAACAAAAGAAGTCCGTTTTTAAACACCTTGATGTGATTAGGGAAATTTTTGATTGATACAGCAGATTGACTGTGAGCATTCGAGCAGTTGCTTATGGCCGGCTTATAGTAGTGATAAATGCAGTGCTGATTTTGTGTAAAGTGGGAAGACAGGCAAATCTGTCACTGCTGCCGATGATGATGATGGTGGTGGTGGTGGTGATGATGATGGTCACTTGGAGGATGGTGGTGCTTGGCCGACAGTTTGCCAGGGCCAGACTGGCTGTGGTTGTGGCATGAATGGTGGTATCATTGGCTGTGACCAGCCAGTAAATGGGCGACGCGGCCCACAACACATGCACTTCGTTGTTGGACATGGCAAGAAGCCGCATGCGAGTGGTGGTAGTGGCGCAGATCCGAGCAGTGGCGGGATCACTGGTCCTGGTCCTCCATCGAGTGCTGGCGCTGGTATTGGTGGTGGTCCAAAGGGTGGCGGTGGCGGCATTGCATAAGCGCGTTTCTGAAATGCTTTGCTTCGGTAAGTTTCAACCGGCAGAAGTTCTTTTGGGATGAATTTTTGGTTTCTGGATTGAAATAAACGAAAGATTCGCTAACAGTTCGTTTGTATGATGATCCTGTTGCTGGAAGATCGCCGACGCCAAGGGCTGCCGAGTTGATCAGCACTCCGTACACTTCGCCCTGGAATCAGTGGACTCTTTGCTATGCATGGAGTATGATGGACAGGAACGTCTTGTTTCTTTATTATTCGTTTTGCGCTGTGTAGCAACAGCACAAAACGCGTATTGTCACATTCTAGTCTGTCTGTGTTCGCGTATGTATGTGTGTATGCGAGTGTGTGTGCATGTGTGTGCGCGTGTGCCCGAGTGCATTTTGTCTTGCGCTTTCAACTCGGGAACCAAAAAAGCCAGGAGGCTGAAATTTTAGTAGAATATTCCACGTCCCCGTGCGACCCCCCAGATTTAAATCTAGCCTTGTGCTCCCGGTTAACATGTATGACTCCGTGAAAGTTTTGGCGAGCAAAATTATTATTTCGTGAACCACGGAAGCTAGGAAGCTGAAATTTTTAGGGGATGTTCCTCGATCATATACGATCCCATAAATTTAAATTCAGCTCTACCGTGCGCTTGGATACCACGTACGATCCTCTGAGAGTTTTGGCGAGAAAATTATTATCCTGGGAGCCAAAAGAGCCAGGGGGCTGAAAATTTCAGAAGAATGTTCTGTGCCTGTACAGGGATCTCAAAATTTAAATTTAGCTCCCTATTATGCTGAGGTCTCACGTACGGCCATGCGAAAGTTTTGGCGCAAAATTCGCTCGGAAACAAGGAGGTTGAAGCTTTAGGACAATATACGCTTATGTTTCACGTTCCGAGACGTGAAATTTCTAGTGGGGAATTTTCGCAGCTTAGGAAGCAGACAAAATATTGACTATTTTGCACAGACTAAACTGTAAAACAGTGAAAATCCCTACGAGGCAAGCGTTGGCTAGACGGAGCTGTGTAAAACACACGGTTGCACCTGCTACCCTGTTGCGTGTCGCTATTTATGTTGCTTTGACGATTGTCTTTGTTAACTTTTTTTTGGTTACCGTTTGTGCCCTTTCGGTCTTCACCGTAACGTTTCAGCAAGCAAGTAGCTGGTGCGAGACTTAAGTCCTTTTCCACTTCACTCTTGAAAAGATGTGCTATTGTTGGGTTTTCCTAGAAGTAGCCCGTCAATGGCACGAATTGTTGAAGACTGCTGTTCGTTGCATTCAGGATGTGTTGAGGTCAAAGTGCCACTGGAAGAGGTTTCCAGTTTTGGACAGTATGTAATGGTGGGTAATTCTGTAAGCTGCCGTAGCTCCGCCATCCTTTTCGTTCGTTCATTTTTCACCTGACTTCAGTTACACATTGGGCTGGAACTGGTTTGACACGTTTCAAGATGAGTAAACTTACACCAGTAATTCCGTAGTATCTGCTGGCCATTTTGCAGCAGTCAGTACATGCATGTCTGGAAATCGTCGCTATGTCGGCGCATCCCATCCGCACTGCATTTGCTACGCCACAACTAGGGCCTATGCAAGGTCCGGGGCCGAGAAATGGCAGGGCGGGTGGGGGTATTGGCGGTGGCTGAACGCCGACTTCCGGTCCATCGAAGCTTGCGCCGGTTGCTGGCGTCAGTTGCGGGCTATCCAGAACAACCAGGATCGAAGCGTCCAACGTACACACGTTTCCTGAAAGGTAAATTCAAGATAATTGGGAGTCTTAAAAATGCGTTTTTGCTATAACTACGTGAAATGTAGTTATAGCAAAAACGCATTTTGCAGCAGATCTCTGTGGACTACTTCTGCACACAATCAAACCTGAGCTTGGTGTTCTGCCATACTTCGAACCAGCAATCGAGAATGGTCACCGGACCTGCAGCTGCTATTTTCACTCGGAATGCTTCAGTCACTTATGGTCCAGGAATACTCGTAGCAGCAATACATTTTCTACGTGCAATGTGCACATACTAGCGGGCCTACACTGTCACTGAGGGGCTATGTACTGTCAAAGTAAGGATGGCTCAGGTGAGGACGAGGAGGGCACTCGTTGATGGTCTTCTCGCGCAACTATCAAAAGCAGAAGCTTACAATACAAACCTCATTCCGAGCAGTTTGTAAAGTATCCGCTGAGTTATTAGCAATCATTTGAAATATTTGAATAAAAAACAACATAAAAAAAAACTGCTTACGATCATCGGAGAGGCCCCACCAAGGCGATACGGGAAGCGGTGGGTATGGCGCTGGCGGAGGGGGCAGTGGGCCTGGCACTGGGCCTGGCATCCAGCCTGGTGGTGGCCCCCAGTAGTGCGCTCCTCCCGTCTGATTTTTCACCGCTTCCTGAAATACAAATCAAGCTAATGTTTCGAGACCAGTTGTGTGAGTGAAACATGCAAGATGTCTGGAGAGAACAGTTCGTCAAAATCATTACAGCAAGGTAAGAAAACGACGAAATTTAACCAGTTTTGCGCCAAATTCTCAGGAATGTGTGGGGTTCCGAATTCAGGCACTATATGCATTACTGTGATGTGGAGGGATAGCTTTTCAGACGCAAGGATCTTGTATGTTTGGTAAAGAATGAGAAGCACTCACATGAGATCCGTGGAAAGTAACGAAGATGCAAAGAGCGGTAAGAAGAACGCTCCTGACAGTGTACATTTCTTCGATTATGGAATCGTCGGAAAGAACGAGCTGCCAGTTGCTACTCGAACCTTTATATTCTGCAAAACTGTCTTCTGGGCGGAGCCTGCTTCTGTTACGGTTTTTTTATCCAGCACTTCTTTTCTCCAGCTAATCCTCGACTGCTTACCAGCGATGCACAGAGATCGTTATTTCAGCGCCAAGCATTTGTACACAACAATATATCCAGCAATTTACAAAGTTGGAAGACACACACTTGTTTTTGAAGGGGGGGGGTTGAAAAGGAGACAAAAGGGGGGGGGGGGGGGG